ACAAGGTGTCACTGTTTGCCCAGGCTAGTCTTGAACTCCTGGCTTCAAGCTATCTTGCCTCAGTGTCCCAAAGTGCTGGGATTACAAATGTGAGCCATTGCACCCAGCCAATATTTATAATTTAAAAACAGGCTTTCCAGCTCCTTTTTACAGTGTGCACTCCCTTCTAGCACACAATCAGACCAAATTCCTACAAAAATACTTTGACAAAGTGACTGACAATGAGCAGTTTCAGCCCCGTCTTTCAGTGGTTTTACTTTTTTTTTGTATCTGCAGACCTGAAACTGATTCAGAGATTCTAGGGCCCTTTCCACCCACCCAGATGGACATGTGCACACCAGGTTGGCCTGAGAACGTCCAGGTCTGCTGCATCCTTTTGCCCAAATGCCAGGGAATGTTCAGCAAGTTCTGCTGCTTCCCCACCTCTCTGAGTCCCTGAATTTGTAGCTTCATTCTGAATTCAGGGCCTGGGGTTCCTCAGAATGCCCTAGAACAGGCTGCAGGAGGGGAATCTCTCCTCCAGTTTCTCTCCCCTCTCTGTAAAACCCCAAAATACAAAGCAAGTGCAATTGTTCTTGAATATACACTCAAGACCTGGCTTCCGGCTCAGCGCCTATAGAGCCCAGGAGTTGGAGGTTGCTGTGAGCTGTAATGCCACGGCACTCTGCCTAGGGGGATAGGAGGCTGGCAGTTTGAGCCTGGCCTGGGCCTGCCAAACAACAATGATGGCTGCAACCAAAAAATAGCCGGGCGTTGTGGTGGGCACCTGTGGTCCCAGCTACTTGGGAGGTGGAGGCAGGAGACTCGCTTGAGCCCAGGAGTTGGAGGTTGCTGTGAGCTGTAATGCCACGGCACTCTGCCTAGGGGGATAGCTTGAGGCACTGTCTCAAAAAAAAAAAAAAAAAAGACCTGGCTTCCACCTGGGATTCATAGCACAGGGCCTGACTTTAGACTGAGGATGTACAACAATATCCCCAGAGAATACACTTTTTGCCGCATAAGATACCAATGAACCTTTATGAACCTGAAATGTCTCTCTAGATAGAGCTCATAGAATTTTCCAGATCTGGTCCAGTGACCTGCTTTAGCTCTGCAAGTGGCTTCTGGTGGTCATTGTATAATGTGTAAGTGGTAACAGTCATCAGCATTGAATCCAACACTTGCCAGGACACAGACCCTACCTGAATTCAACATAAGTATAAGATCAATAAACATCGAAAGGTCAGGACCACTAAATGTCTCTGACTATAATTACCCCTACCTGTAGACAGTGTTACTGGAGTATGGTGTTCTTCCTCCATCCTCTTACCCCAGAGTTAGCTGATCGTGGAGAGGTGCTGTCACACCATGACATGGTTGGCTGGATCCATGGTTGGCTGTTGTATCAGGGCAGATTCATTCTATGTCCCACAGAGCCAGCCTGAATCTTGCCTGCCTGCATCACTGTGCAAAAATCTGTCCAGGCTCAATGGGACGCTCTCACCAGCATCTGGAATTCTTTAAGACTTTGGGGATGTCTTGTGCAGAGTGGGGTCAGGCTGACATAGGGTCTAAATCTCCTTCCATCTCAGAGGGAAAGGAATGTGTCATCCAGGGTTTTTTCTTCCCGCAGAGAATAAATCTGCTTGGCTGGTCTTTATATGAAAGATCCTCCAATTCTCTGGTACTTGAGTGAAGAACAAGGAAGAGGCTTAAAGACTCAAACTGTTAAAGAAACCAACTGCTTCCATAATGTCATAGCCATGAGAAAAGAGGGATGATGCAGGCATGGTTAGTACTGTCTTAGGAACTTTCAGACTAGACAAAGGGATAATGGTTGAGTTCAGTATCATGTAGTTAGTGCAAAGAAGGGGAGCTATACAGGGGACTTTAGCTCCATTTGAGCCACTGCCCTATGTTGTGAGTTCTGATGTTAAAATAATTGTTATCATTTTTATTGTTTTATCATGTTTGGATGTGGGCTAAATTGGTTGTATGTTATGAAATAGACAAAAAAGTACCTTAAATAATTAAATGCATACAAACTCTGGAAGTAGAATTTATGCTGAGCAAGTTTAGAGAAGATAGGAAAATAGGGCCGTTGCAGTGGTTCACACCTGTAATCCTAGCACTCCAGGAGGCCCTGGCCAGGTGGATTGCAGGAGCTCAGGAGTTGAAGACCAGCCTGAGCAAGAGTGAGACCCTCTCTCTACAAATA